AGGATCATGCGTGATTTTTTTTTTAAATTAGCACACCGTAATCTGCTAAGTTCTTATAAATTTGTATACAACATTGTCCTTATTAGATAAGAAACCTGTCTTCCTCCCACCACGCTCAAGCTGCCAGTGAACATCAAGAAACTGCCTCATCTCCCTCGCTCAATGACAGATTCTGGTCAGAGAGAAGGGATGTGGCAATCCATGGAAACTGCATGGGGACCTTCTGCCTAGGAGCATCACATTGCTTGGATCAAACACAGCCCAGGACACCAAGATGTGAGCTTAAGACCATTTGAAACCTCAGCACCAGTTTCTGTTTAATGGCTTCCGTTAATGAGGTCCGTGAGAAAGGAAAGTGAAGTAATCTTCCAGCACGCTACAGCAGTTGGGGTGAGTAGGTAATTAAAATATTTCCTGTGTGTGCTTTGACGAAGTGTTTAAGGATCCCTCAAGGTGAACAGGTTCAACAAAGCCAAGTGCAAGGTGCTGCACTTGGGTTGAGGCAATCCCAGGAACTCATTGTGGTGACACACAGAACAGGTTGCCCAAGGAGGTTGTGGATGCCCCATCCCTGGAGGCATTCAAGGCCAGGCTGGATGTGGCTCTGGGCATCCTGGTCTGGTGGTTGGTGAACCTGCACATAGAAGGGGGGTTTGAAACTTGATGATCATTATGGATCTTTTCAACCCAGGCCATTCTGATTCTATCATTAACAGCAAATAACACTGTTGTTCCTGCTCCCCCTATTCACAAGGCTCTTTCTCTCCGAAGTATTGGGAGATGGGGAACAAACATTAATAATAAAACTCCATCAAACTCCTGATAGAGGTTGTAGCATAGAGGAGTCAGCTGAAAGGAACAGGTTATTTCTGGTAGATTCAGGTCTTGATGTTGCTGCATTAACCAACCTTAGAATTCTGATGTTGACCTTCAGGGATGTAAAACTCCTCCACGCCCACCCACTTGAGATGGATTTCAGTTCAACAATCACTCCAGATTTTGTAACCATAAGAGACAGCACATCACAGCATTTCTGACAAGTGACCTCAAGTCCTCTGGCAGTTAGGACTCAAGGTTAAGGCTGGAAGACCACTGCCACCAACCTGCAGAGTCCATTCAGGAGCACAGAAGCAGGGGCTGAAATACTTGAGCAGCAGGCAATGCTCATGGCCATTACCCTTGTCCAGATCATAAAAATACAGACGCACATGTTCCCAGTGGGAATACAACTATACAAGACATCCCACACAACTGCAAAGTGTGTGCTTCTGTGTACCTGCAATTGACTTTTTAGATTTCTCCTCCGACCAAAGTAAAGAAGTGGGAACATTCACTGTCAGTGTTACTAACTCCTATAGGTACATTTGCAAACATACTTTTGGACTTGAAAAATATTTTGCTTACATTACAAAAAGCAATCCCTTAATAAGGCACTTTATTAATACATCTCCTTGTACTGACATGTTACTTTAAGCTCTCTCATTCTCTCACTGTAATTACTTTCTCTTAAGCAGCTTTGCTTCTATGAGTGATGGTAGAGCTCTTGTCTGTGGTACAAATGAACTCAGAGTCTGTGGATCATAGCTACACCCTTCTTGGATATTTAAGTAGCACAGTAGCATCACTGCAGTTTGCACCAGCAGATGCACACCGAAGTACTGCAACTATTTCTGCATTCTGTTCTCCCACTACGGATCTTTTCCTGAAGGCAATTATTCATGGCAGTGTCTTAAAGCTCTGACTATAAGCAGTGGTCACAGCAGAGCTGCCTTGAAGGCAGGACCAGCACATATGAAGGTCCTTCCAGTATGTAACAAGAGCTTCTATGCAGGAAGAGAAGTGACTTCTTACATGGTTTGATGGTGATAATGCCATTAACGGCTTTAAACGAAAATAAGGGAAATTTGTATGAGATGTTAGGAAATTCCTTCATTCAGAGGGTGGTGAGACAATGGCACAGGCTACCATGGGAGGTGCCATCAGTTAAGGAGCACTGACAACAGGGTAGAGTTGGCATAACACATTTCAATTCAGACCCCTAGTACTTGGGGTACTGTTTTCTTTCTCCATTTGAACTAGTTCACAATCTGAACAGTTTCAATTATGGACCAAACTATTTTCCTGTATTATACAATCCTACTCATAAAATAAAAAATAAAAAAAAAGAAGAAGAAGAAGAAAATGAGGAGGAAAAGAAGATCCTCTTCAAAGTGTGTAATGATGTGGCAGAAGCACTTTTTAAAAATTAAATAAAAAAGCACATGTCAATTTAGTGGAGAGTTATTATCTCTATCATTCACCTTCCTACAGGTGCTATCACCTGGTGCAAATATAGGTAAGTACTTAAGAGGAACTGGCTCCCATTTTATGATGAGACAACAGCTAGCAAAGTTTTACAGTGATGTTTTAATGCACAAAATATGCAGGCTTCTGTTTCGCCAGTCACAGTGCTCAAAGCTGTAATTAATACACCCCAACTGCAAATTAAGAAAGGTGGAAATAAGGCAGTGAAATATATTTAATTTGCACAGAATCTGGATGTTCATTCTGCATGTTCATTCTCAACAGTAGTTAGCTGACTATAAATTAAGTCATCAAAAGAACTGCTCGTCCGTTCCACAATGGCCACACTGTTTCAATTGAAATATGAAAGGCTACATTTTTCTTAAAAGACATTTTTTTTGTAGGATTAAAAAGCCACACTCTAATTTCTTAGCTGTCTTGACATGGTGATGACAGCTCCATAAACCTGAGTAATTATAGAAAATTGAGCTCTGAGCTCTGAAGTTTGATCTCAAACATGCCAATGCAAAGGAATATCACGGACTCTTTTTCAGAAGTTTGCTTACATCAACCACATACAAGTGTCTGATGGGCATATATTTATGGTGCTGTTGCTTGAGAAGCCAATGAAGAGCAAGCCCAAGGGTATACCAGTGCCACATGGAAACCTCCCTGACAAGTCTGGGGTTATTTTATAATTCCTGCACTTCCACAACCACCAGAAACAGGGCAGTGAAATGTAGTGGTGGCCTGGGGAAGCATCAGCCTGACCAGCTGTGCGTCCCAGGCAAGGATGTAAAATGGAAGGTGCTCATAGACTCACGAATCATTAGGGTTGGAAAAGACCTCAAGACCACTTTGTGTGACTCCACTTCGGCAAATCTCTCCTGTGATCAAAATGAAATCCAAATGATGAATTTATTGTAACAGAGAGATATGAAATAACATTTGCTTGTTTGCTTGTTTTCTCACAGTTTTAGAAAAATCTAAGTGATTTTTGCACAAATAATCAGGAAGCAGTTAAATCCATCCTTCACTCCACAGTGAAAGCTACAACAGACTTTCATGTTAGTAAGATAAATAAATGTCCTGAGTATTGCCAATCTGTGATATTGGACAGGTTTCCTCTTATCACTGAATTATGTCCTAACTTAACCGGGTAGCCTTTAACCTATAAGGACAAAAACTTCTTCCATAGCAGAGTTGCTGTGCTGGACCCACGGAATCATAGAATCCCAGGATGGTTTGGGTTGGAAGGGACCTCAAAGACCATCCAGTTCCAACACCTTTGCCATGGGCAGGGCTGCCTCCCACTGAAACAGGTATCAGCTCAGGGTGCCCAGGGCCCCACCACACCTGGTCTTGAACTTATCCAGGGATGGCGCATCCACAGCTTCTCTGGACTTGCTCCAGCAACAGAATTGGGCAAAATCATGTTTTTCCTAGTCTGCCCTACCTAGGTCTCTCTTAGAAGTGTTTTTGGGAGTAGCTATGCCTGTGCCAAGTGCAGCATGGAGGAGGGAGAGCAGAGGAGAGTACTGCTGTGGTCAGAACCTTTCAGCCCGCTGAGCTAAGAGGATGGAAAAAGCACCGCTGGGAGGTTTAGATGTTCAGGCACTGCACTGAAATGAACTTGGGAGCTCTTTCTTCAGTACTCGAATACCAAAAGGATTAACACATTTATTTCAAAAGGCTTCTCCATGAGAAATACTCAGTGCTTCAGAGACTGAATGGGAAGAAAGCCTTCTCCAGCCCCAAGGTCTCAGCCACATGGCTGGGAAAGCAGTTTTGAAGGAATTCAGAGTCAATTATCCCAGCATCAAACAGGACTGTTTTGCATTTTTTTTTTCCTTTGGAGCAACAAGGGGAGAAAGAAATATTTGATGAGGGGAGGAAAAATACCAAAAAGCCACAGAGACAACATTTTAGACAGAATTTAAAGGAATATATGATATAAATACTAAACAGGTTGTCTGTGTTTGTGGAAGTCAATGAGGTACACATGTAGGAATGCAGAAAATGGAACATCATACTAACACTTTTTCCACAGGTGTTAAAAATAATGACTGTAAGTACCACCTCTTCATGGCAACAGGAGCTGTCTATGCTCACATGCAATCCAACACAAACACAATCCTGAAGCAGCACAGATCCTTCCCATATACTTTTCTATTCCATCTGTCCTTCCTTCACCCACCATAGTTGTTTCTTGAGGCATTGGGTGGCACAGAAACAGCCCAAGTTTCTCTCTAATACAGTCCACATTCCAAATAAGCCTCTTCCCCTTCCCTTTCTCCCTTCCCCTTTCTCCCTTTCTCCCTTTCTCCCTTTCTCCCTTTCTCCCTTTCTCCCTTTCTCCCTTTCTCCCTTTCTCCCTTTCTCCCTTTCTCCCTTTCTCCCTTTCTCCCTTTCTCCCTTTCTCCCTTTCTCCCTTTCTCCCTTTCTCCCTTTCTCCCTTTCTCCCTTTCTCCCTTTCCTCTTCTCTTCTCTTCTCTTCTCTTCTCTTCTCTTCTCTTCTCTTCTCTTCTCTTCTCTTCTCTTCTCTTCTCTTCTCTTCTCTTCTCTTCTCTTCTCTTCTCTTCTCTTCTCTTCTCTTCTCTTCTCTTCTTTTTCATCCCCATCCCCATCCCCATCCCCATCCCCATCCCCATCCCCATCCCCATCCCCATCCCTATCCCTATCCCTATCCCTATCCATATCCCTATCCCTATCCCTATCCCTATCCCTATCCTTTTCTCATTCCATTCTGTTCCCTACAGCAGTGTCAAAGGAAAGAAAAGCAGACAATGCAGATGTCCCCCCGAGGTTCAAAGACAGACTGCCATGTGATAAGTCCCTCTGTCTCCATCAGAACTGTGTTTTACATGAACAGGTAACAGAAATATAGTACATTCAGGCAAGAAAGGGTAGGAAAAGTAAAAACAAAATGGTGAAGTGAGGCTTTGAAAAAGAAGAGAAGGCAGGAGCTGTTTTTGTTATCAGCTTTGAGCTTGCATGTGAGACAGCTTCACCTTCGTTATTCAAAAGACATTTCTGAATAGTTCAGAAGTTTCTACAAACCTAGTTCTTCCCTGACTGTGGAAGCTGTTTAAAGCTTCTTTCAGGATGTTTGTTTCTCTGAACTGCATCCAGATTAAAAGCAATCCATCCGAAGGAAGAGGAAAACCAAGCACAAGTTAAATCTCTATCTTTTTCAGGTGCCTTCAGCTCCTATAATCCCTGTACTTCAACCTGCCATTCACTGTGTTTTCAAATGATAACTTCCTAAGAGATTTAATGAGGATTTACCCTACAGCCAACATTCCCCTTTTACAGAAATGACAAGTTTCTGGTTCTCTCTCTTCAGAGTAAACAGCGGTCAAAACAATCATAGCTGATGCTAGGCACGTTTAACTCCAGCAAGGACTCTTCCCTAATATTCATTAACTGTCTGCTCTGATAGCTGCTCTGAATAGCCAGAAGAAAAACCACCTCATGTTTTAAGTTTGGCAGCCAGGCAGCTTTGTCTCAACCCATGGGCAGTGGATGCAGCTGCCTCCTGGCATTGCTCACCTGCAGTTGTACATCTTTCTATGACATCTCTTCTGCAGAGGCATTTATACTCCATGCATTGGCTGAAAAACAGTCAGGATAGAACTGGCAATAACATTTAAGAGGTTTTTTTCATTATCAAACTGCTTGGTAGGAATAAAACTACTCACACCCCTCCAAAAATTCCTGATCCTTGCAAAATATTCTGCTTGCGTTAATTGAGCAGATCATGTATATCTGAATGTGATGCTCAGTTCTTTGAAATATCCAGGACAAAGCCAATGTTAGCACAGTTCCATTCGGTGCTCTCTTCCCAGAAACACAAACAAATACTGTTTAGATATTTACAACTTCATTCACTCGGTGGATCCAGGGGACTGTAAACAAAAAATATTAGAGCACCGCACAGTTGCCATGATGGCTCTTCGTCAGTCCTCATATCAATTAATTTGTGTTTATGCAGACCAGCAAGCTTGAAAAACTTGAGCTGCAATATACTCAGAAGTACAGAGATTTTTTCCTAATTAGCCATGACATACCCAGCAGTGTCTGTCTGCTGGCATGCGTGAAGCTGCCTAGCAACAATGCAAAAAAATCCTATGATGAGCCTCAGTGGATCACAAAGAGTCTGTTAAAAATGGTAATCTCTTGTCATAGAAAAGTAGAGATGGTTTCAATTAAGAACAGCAATTCTCAACTTGTTATTTATATGCAGTGAACTAAAATAACTTTCAAAAAGTATAAATACAATGTGAAAAGGCCATGCTTAATTTCTTAAAGCTTTAATTTGCAGTATGTAATTTGCCGTTCACATCTGTAAGCCTTTTGTTTCACTTAATGGCAAAAACATTCCAGCTAGGTCAGACCTACACTTGAGTTTATACAATGTGGAAATCTCAGCAAACAGGGCTGGAATGGACTCAGTATGTCTGTTAGTCCATCCTGAAGAACCAAGGCAGTAGAATTTGCATACAAACCATTCCTGACTGACAGTGCTTTACTTACCAGCCTCCCCAAACCTCCATAAGCAAATTCTGGAGCATCTCCCCTGGCACTCCACTCAGTAGTGTGACTCTCCTGGCAGCTGGAAACCAATGGGGAATCTCTGACCTAAACCTGCCTTGTTCCAATCCTTGCTGCATCTGAACAGACATTATGATCAGCACTCTATACTGCTGTGTTTGGAAATGCTTATCACATGTTCCTTTAGTCTTGCTTTGAGTAAATAACCATAACTTTTCTCAGGCTTACCTTACAGGTGTTGTATTTTTTTACCTGTATTCCTTCCTGCCTCCTCCAGCTCTTTATGATTCGTACTGGCTTTCACACTCCACAAATGCACTCTCCCAGTGCAAGGCAGCATTGACAGCGCTGGGGCTGCACCCAACACTTTTCCAGGAAGGGTTGATCTCATAGGACCCAATGACCCAGCTCTGCAGGGCTCTGCTGAAGACAGCAGGAGCATGGTGAAAGGCAAAGCAGCAGCTTCGGCTTCAATTGCCTCAAATGCAGGAGATGTCCATGAGCTCGGCTGGAATGCAATCCAGGAAGAGGGTGAGGAGTCACACACATGACACTCAGAATGGGGCAAAGCCCCACAGCATGCCCCATGTTAATCGGAGCATCTGTCTTTCAAACTTGTTTTTCTCTTCTTTCTCCGAAAGGACTAAATCATAAAAGAATCACAACTAAATGCCTTTAGGAATTGGATCCTAGAAGAAAAAAGTCTCTGGCCCATTCTCAGAAGTAAAGAATTGCTTTTTTTCCTGACGAAACAATGTAAAGATTCAGATTCATACAGAGCATGAGCATAAACACCTATCCTAACTTGGCAGAGCTGCAAGCAATGAGGAAAAGAGTCCAAGAGAAGAACACATAACATAACCTCAGTACCTGGGGTCAGAACACAGGGAAAATACTCCCTCCACTACACAAGCTAAGAAATTCAGTCTGCTCAAATAAGCACTTTCAAATTTATGATGAAATGCCAAAGGGGCAACTTTAATGCTGTTGGCTTGATTTTTGCATTTTATTGGTATTTTCAACAATTACCTGACAATGGCTAATTCAATTATTTGAAGACAGTATCATTATGTAAATTCCCATTTTTTGCATAATTATAAATGGAATTTAGAGTAAAGTTAGGTAAATTGGGTTCCTTCTAGCTCCTAAGCAATGTGCGTCACTATTCTGTGGCTACAAAATCTTGTTACATGAGAACTCAACTTACTTATACGTGTCTTAATTAATCAGGATCCTTGCACAACTGTAGTTGTAAGGTGTACAGGAATATGTATATTTTTAGTTGTTTCAGGTAGTTTGTTTTCACACATTAAAAATTCCCTAGAATTTTTATTTTTCATCAGATTTCCACTTTGATTATTAGTGTCACTGATTTCTTACCTTGCTGTTTTTGTTCCTCTGTTCTTTTTGCTGAGGGTGGAGTTTTGACTGTAATGCACTGTGGAAGCAGCAAGAAAATACAATCATTCTCGAAGGTCTAACATTATTGTCTACAATTAACCTGTCCAGCTGAGACCTCTACATTATAATAAATAAGCAAAACTTTCCTACCTGCTCCTCTCATGCCTCCTCCTCCAGCAAAAGGCCTTGGTATGTTAACTTTTGTTCTACTCCTGTCAGTTTCTTTTTATTCACTGAACAGGATATTTTGGTTTTTTAAGACTGTTCAAGCAGCGGGTTGCAAGGCACAGTACTCATGTCTGCATATTTATTACAGCAAGGGGAAGCTGTACACTCAGGGGCATTCTTTTTGTTGCTGGCAACATAATAACATTTGCTTAATTGTGTTTTATTAATGTTAATATGCCCAGAGGCTCAGGCTCTGCCCACACATTTTGGTAAATTGAATTAGAGGAAAAATGAATCAGAGTTAAAAGACAGCTGATTAATTTTATCCACTTGCTTAAGGGGTTTTAAGCCAAATGGTCTCCACATCTATTTTTCTTTAGAGAACAGACCTCATAGCCACGGGGCTAGGAGAAACTTGTCAGTAAGCCATTTTCATTGCCGTGTGTCAAGGAGAGCTATTTAAAGCACTGAAAGCGATGGCCATCAGGGAGGAGCACTCACCCCCTGCTCCGTGCAAATGGCGAGGTCAGGCAGGGCTGGTTGCTCCCTCCTGCTGTCCACATCATATTGTTTTCATGCAGCATTTTTCAATGAAGCTCTCAGAACACCCCCTGCAGCCTGCCACTCCAGATGGACGAGGACACAGGCGCAACGCAAACCTGCTAAAAAGGGCCATTTCCATTCACACAAAATCCGCCCTATTAGCAGGTCTGTCTCAATGCATGCAGTAATTTAAAAGCCATTATTGCGCCATTTAATAGGCTTTCAGCTAGTCACAGCAGAAATCAGTTCTTGTGGCAGATTTCTCATCAGGAAATAAACATACTTCATTAGGGAAGCCTCTGCTGGATGTGCATTGATACAAAGCCTGGGAGGGAGCATCAGTATAAGTGCAGAATTGCTCAGTACTGGGTTGTAGGAAATCAACTCTATTTCCCAGTTATTTAGAGTGTCTGGTCTGAAGAGAATCTATACAGAAACTTGGCAGGCCTTTCTGATAACTCTGTTTTGAATGATTTCTTCATGACTGCTTATTCAAAATGTTAATGAAAAATGCAAGTCAAACATCTCAAGAAAGAAGGATGTAAATCTGAAGGTTTGAGCCCCTCTGTATAAACAATGAGGTCTCCCCATAGCCTTCTCTTCTCTGAGCTGCTTGTGTTTGACTCCTTCAGCCTTTCTTCTTAGGAGAGGTGCTCCAGCCCTCTGAGCACATTTGTGGCTCTCCACCTGGACCTGCTCCAACAGCTCCACATCTTTCTCGTGCTGGGGAACCCCAAACTGGACACAGTGCTCCAGATGGGGCCTCACAAGTGCAGAGCAAAAGGGGCAACCCCTTCCCTCTCCCTGCTGCCATCCTCTGTCAATGCAGCCCAGGATGCTGGTGGCCTTTTGAGCTGCAAGCACACATTGCTGCATCATCCAACAACCAAGTCCTTCTTCGCAGGGCTACTCTCAAGTTCTGTCTGTACTCATATATAGGATTGTCCTAATACAAGTGCAACACCTTGCACCTGGCGTTGATGAATCTCATAGGGTTCACATGGGTTTACTTTTCAAGCTTGTTCAGGTCCCTTTGGATGACATTCTTTCCTTCTATTGTATCATTTGCACCACTCAGTTTGGTGTCATCAGCAAACTTGCTCAGGGTGCACTCAATCCGTGTTGCTCTCCCATGTGTGTGTGTGTGTCACATACACAGCATCCTAGAGATTTTCACACAGCTGGGATATTTACAGTATCTACCAACCCTCATATAAGATCTCTGGCTGCTGGTAGGGCATGGGCTTTCACACCATCCTTTTCCCCTGTGAAGCTCTGTAAGGTTTCTCTCCTACCTGGCCCCAGATTTACATCAGACTTCTGGGTGTCTAACAGCTTTGAGCTGACTGCTTCCACAGAATCTTTGTTTGAAACATGTTCAAAAAATTGACTGTGGATATGGGAAACTACCAAGCACTCTCCTCAAAGCCATGGGAAACAAGGCTAAGAATTCAAATATACCTTGAATGGTCAGTGGAAAGAAGAAAAATTCAGGGAAAATTGTGTTGGAAAGATACCCCTGGGCTACATGTCTGCTAATAACCATATGGATATTATCTGGCTCTCAAGTCTGATGACACAGAGCAGCTTTTACTGACTCATCAATGTATTTAAACTCACTCAAGCTCTAAAGCATAGGGATCACGGACATAATGAAACAGAAAGGTTATTCACTAATTGGGAAAGGTCTTGGCACTCCTGCGCTGTGCCTGGGAGCTCTTTGGGTTGCTCTGTGGCATGGCTGGGCCAGAGACTGTGCTGGCAACTGAAACAGCAAGCATGTGTTCCCATATCACTGGAGTTCATATTTGGAGACCTCAAATTCTATTGCAACTGGCAAAAATTCTGGTCTGATAAGCACACAACCCTGATGGTATGGCAGAGGCCTCAGAATGATGCTGCACGTCAGAGTCCAATTGTCTGTTTCATTTCTTACATTTGGTAAGGAAAAAAATGGATGAGTGGGATTTAAAATTGCAAACCTCAGAATCTCTGCTTTGAGGGAGAATAAGTACGGAAAGTTTCAGACCAAGCGATAAGCTTGACAGACTATTAAGACAACCTTTTCAGATGAACGCTGCCATGTCATGCTATGCCACACTGTGCTGCATAGTGATGCTTTTCCTGCATGCTGCAGGCAGAACAAACACCGGGACTGCTCCATACAAGATAGGATGGGTACATGGAAATGAAGGAATGCTGACTGCTACTTTGAAATTAAAATGGGCCTTTTGAGATTTCTATATTCAGAAACAGTACAAAACCACAACTTTGAATATTTATGGGAATTAATTTGTAGAAATTCTATTACTGATATGCCGAAATATTAATTTCACTCTCACCCACAGCCCCATGTCCTACTCCCATCTCCAGGATACACCCAATGTATGGGGCTGGGGCTGCCACGGTGTCCTCACTGCACCTTGATACCATATTTTATTTTATTAAAGGAAAGACCAGATGTACCAAGAAACTTCAGCAATCTCCAGCCGTGTTTCAGCACAAGGAGTGATACCCATCAGACTTTTCACTCTTACTATAGAAGAAGCTGAAGGTATGTGATATTATTCAAATTGCACTTTATTATGGGCCTCCCAACCTTTGTCTCCCAACTTTCACAGGTCTATCTCTATAATATGTTCACCTTGATGTTGCTAAATGAAGGTGATCTTAAAAAGCACAAGATGGAGGCAAAGTTATTTAACAAAACTGTTATGTTGTCTTGGATACACTGATTTTGCCTCCAAATTCATTGTAAAGAAAACAAATTAAAATGCATGAATAGCAGGCTCTGAGTAAGGGGGAAATGCAGCTGCCACCCACATTTCCCTCCGTGCAGGATGGAATCCTTCACAGCCCACCACTGCTGAATGGAAAGCAATGCCATGAACATCCATGGAAGCACTGGAGGAAGCCAGGGCAGCTGCTGTTTCCTGGTTCTTCTTCCAGGAGGCTCAAATGGATCCCAATATCAGCCCATTGCCCTGCTTGGGGGAGACGTAAATAGGAGGGGAGAAGAAGAGCTGTCCAGAGATCTCTTCCTCCTTAAATTTACTTTATGCTCATTGCCATGAAGGCGGTTGTTTGTTTTGCCCTATGATGTGCAATGCAGAATACAAACACACGAAGTTCCTGTTTTAGCATTGTAGCAGAGGCAGCCCAAGATCTCCTGCCCCGTGTTGGAGGTAGCGCTGGTCCTGCCATGCCGCCTGTGTAGCTGGTGGGGCCTGCAGCTGGTGGGACAGGCTCAGTCAAGCAGCCAGGCCTTGGTCTGCTGGGGCATTCCAGCATGGTCCCCATGCCCTAACCCCAAAGGGGATGAGAGCATTTCCCAGGCCCCGCTGGAGATCCCAAGGATGCCTTCACAGGAGTGCCTGACATCTGAGCTAGCCCTGCCAGACAGAGAGGAAGAGCTGTCATTTAAAAATAGAAATAAAATTTCTACGAGGCCCAAGCACACATCTCCTGTTTGCTTGTTTAAATTAATTCCAGCTGAAAAGGCAGCTCCCCCAGCAGCTTTGAGTGACAGGAACTTCGTGCTGAGAAGCCCGTGTGAGCTTTGGCAGCGTTCAAAAAGATGCTTTAAAACTAACACAGAGCTGATGTCTCGTGGAGCAGCCTTAGGCGTTGTCTTTACAGAGGGAAAAATGTGTCACGGCTGAGCTACTGTGCACACTTACAACACAGATGTTGCTCAAAGACAGAGCGTGGCATATGCACATGAACGAGGAACCTGAACTGACCGCCAAGCGCTGCCTTCCTCCCTGAGCTGCACCACAGCTCCACAGGGACTCCCCGTGCCTTATGGATGTGCTGTACAGCAAAGGCTGCCACAGTCAGAACGGTCAGCTGAGCCCCTGCCTGCCCAAATTTCTGTTAGCTGAGATTCAGTCCTGACTGTGAGTTCTCCGTCTCATGAGACCACACTGTTGTGGTCAGACAGTTGTGTGCTGGGAAGCTCTGATCCAGAGATACCTTGCTTTCCCTGTACTTTCATTCAGCACCTTTAGGACACGAGAAACAGCACAAGATTGGCCCTAAGAGGTGCATGCCTAGCAGCAACATCACTAGAAACATCTCTATCTTTAATAAAACATTCAAGAACGAGTCCTGGAGGCCCACAAGAAGAAGGAATGCATGCAAAATTTTCTATTAGCTCCTGGAGGTGTATGTGTGATATATTGCAGCCTTCACCTGCACACCACATTGATAATTCTCTGTGACAGGCAATCCCACCAACTCCCTGGGAAGAACGTTTCCTCTACTCCAGAAAGCCCCTCATCCACTTGGATGCCCTTTTCCAGCACTGTAACATTAATCAGCTGCAAAGTACTCCATGTGAAAGTGGAAATTTGGGTCTTGGATTGGATTTTTTTTTCAGAGGTTGTCTGAAAACTGATTAAATGGACAGGAACCACAGGAAAAAAAATATTTATTTTTCTAACTGACTTTCTTCATAAGCTAGGTTCTGGCAAATTAAAAAAAAAGAAAGAGAGAGAGAAAGAGAGAAAGAAAGAGAGGAGGCAGGCAGGAAGGAAGGAAGGAAGGAAG